AACTCAAACCCTAGATTTTGTCCTAGAGATTTTGAAGTTTAATGTTATTATGACTATTTCACATGCCATGGTAAACCCAACAGTGTTAAGTTACACTCCTGGGGATGGAGTACAAATGTAATCTCCAGCTTACAACTGACTTGCAACCAAAAACCCGCAGACTTGAACTGCTTCTCAAAAAGAGATGTAACTGATGTCAGCACTAGAAAGATGAAAGCAAATTGATCCCTACATATCAATGCCAATGTGCCAGTGCACATCCAACTATGACAATAATACAAAAATGGAAAGAGATCAGGATATCCAAACTTTAGAGGCTTTAGAGGCTAGACCAAATTAAATTTGATCAAAGATCAGAAACATTATAACTACCAGTCTAAATGCACTCCCATTAAGTTTAATTGCAAGTGTATCCATAATTTATTTCCAAGAGCTTCAAGACATCCTGGCTAGTACTTTGAAATTTTTTTACCTAATGGTTCAAGAATAGAGATATTTTAAGAATCTAAGACTATAATGGCATATTTATAGGTGATTATATACAGTGGGATGTATGACATGATTCCCTGATCTTTTGATAACACTTGGACCGTTGAATGAGAGCCTGAGTGAAAGCAGTAATTCAAAATTTCCTTCCTTTGTGATTTTTTTGGTCTAAATCTCACCATTACTTTTTCATTGTTTGGCCCTTATTGTATTAAAGGGCAGGGCAAGTCTGATAAGAGCAAAGGAAAGGCTTAGCACAGTTTGGAGAAGGCAATATGGACTTCCTCTAAAACCAGTACAGGGACCCACCCGGGGGGGCTGGAACCATGGGAATTTCCTTCTGTAGCATGTACCAGCCTATAACTTAACCTTTACTATAAGATTGATGAGACCAAAGAATGGAGCATTCTCGGCTCAAGGTAAAATCAAATACCACAAGTTAGAAGTTCAGGTGAATTTCTATTTCATGGACACTAGCATATTGTCGAGAAGACCCTCAGATTGCATGAAGGGAGAAAAAAGTTTTTCTCCTACAACTCCACTCAACTGTGATGAATTGAAATTCTATGCCTGAGGACAGCAACCCCACAGAGCCCCAGAAGAAAAAAAAGAAACTTTAAAGTCACTTCTAAAAACCGATGAATGTCACATATTATGCTCACAGGATATCCTATCCAAAAGGATTTGCTTCTTTCCACCGTCAACTTGCAGCTGTGACTGTCACATTCTTGGGGTGAAACTATGCTCCAAGTCCACTTAAGCCTGATTTGCTTATGAAAACTACCAACCACAAATATGCAGCCATTGGAGCATCCTGACCTCCCATCACTAACACAAACACTTTGGATCTGCTTGATTTATTAATATGATGAGTGATTCTACTAGAACAATGGTTCTCAATATGGGGCTGATTTCCCCCCACACACACACACACACACAAGGGACATTTGGCAATGTCTGAGAACAATTGATTGTTATAATGGAGTGGATAGTGAGGAGGGGCTTACTATTGTCATCCAGTGGTGGGTAGAGCCAGAGATTTTGCTAAACATCTTACAAAGCAAAGAACAACTAGGGAGGGGAGGCAAGCAAACAAACAAAAATCTTGCCCATGTCAATAGGGCTGAGAGTGGAATACTCTGAACCTCTAAACTGGAGTTCTTTTCTTTTTTTACAACTCTTTTGTGGAAATGAGCATGTATGTGACTGGGTGAGGTTGGGGTAGGAATGTATTTATTTGCTCCCATATTTCTCCACGTCAACATCTCCTCTATTATCATTTTTCCCCCAGTACTGGAGATTGAATCCAGCCACATCTTCAGCCCTTTTTATTTTTAATTTTGAGACAGGGTCTTGCTAAGTTGCCCAGGCTGACCTCAAACTTGCCATCCTCCTGCCTCAGCCTCCCTAGTCCTCTTCTCTACCTTTTTGTAACTGCTCCCTCTTCTCTTTTCACCTGAATCCCTGGCTCCCTACACAAAGGGTGACTTTTAGAACAAAACAAATGTTGCTGTCTTCCAGAAGCCAAATGGTAAGTGCTAACTTTTCAAGTGACTTCAACTGGTTTGATGAATAGAGCTTCTTTTATAGCTGGTGAAGAAAAACAACCCAGATAATGGTCTCTGCAGCTGTTGGGAAGTTTGTCAGTTTATTTGTTTATTTTGTCTAGATTAGCTGCCCTGGCTACATCAACTCCTGCACTTGACCAAGCAAAATGTCTCATTCCTAAATTAGGATAGTCAAAGACACTAGATGAACCTGGAAAGAAACATGAAACCACGGGAAAGAAGATAAGGCTGACCACCTAATCATCTTGTTTTCAGAAAAATCCAGACGTCACCTGCCATAGTCCAGAAAAAGAAACATGGAAGAAGACAAAAATGCTAATAAGAATGCAAAGACAGGCCAAACTAGAAATTGAGGTCGGGAGAAAGAGGAGGTCACATTCTTTTCCTTAACTACTTTATACTCATCCTCCAGGATACAGGCATTGCCTGCTTTCTTTAAAAGTGCCAAAGTATAATCCACATCCTTTCTAGTTACATATCAAAAAGCTCACAGCCCTATTCTAATCAAAAGGTAGGGATTCCCAAGGATAGTTGAGTCTGGAAGCAGGATTATCTAAATGACCTGATAAGCCCTTATCTGTTATCATCCTGTGATATGGAGCACATTTTTATTATGAGGTTGCTGGATTACAGGAAATAAAATGAGAGGGGAAAGGCTGTATATCTTTACCTAAAGCCATTTACCCTTATTTGGGAAGGAATTTAAAAGTTATAATTAAGCAGAGTGACATAAAGGAGCGTCTATAAGTTCCCTCCTGTCCATCACAAAGCTAACAGTTCATCCTCAGAGACTCAGTTCTCCCTGCCCCTGACACTCCAGCTACACAGGAAGTTTGCTTTTTTCACACTTCAAGATTCTGTTTCCCACCCCCATTCCCTTTATCATGCTATTCCCTCAGTGGACAATACTCTGTCCCTCATCTTCATCCCCACTCTTGTCTTCCTTTTTATTAAGATAGGATCAGGTGTCATTTTGGGAACTTCCTTTTATTCTACCCCCACCCCATTTCTGTACTTCCATAGTAATCAGTTCATAACATCATCATTATTATACATAAGACCTTTTCACACCCATTCACATTTCCAGTAGATCTCAAAAGTTTAGTGAGCAAAATGTTCACTTGAAGAATTTGTTAAAAATATTTATTGATTTGCTCTGTACAAACTTTGATTCAGTAATTGTGGAGTAGGCCCAAGAGACTACATTTGTAAATAAAACCTTCCCTAATAATTCTTTTTTTATGATTTTTTTCAGCTTTGTTGAGGCATAATTGAGACATTAAAAATTATATATATATATATATATATATATATATATATATATATATATATATATTTAAGGTGTACAATGTGGTGTTTAGATACAAGTATACCTTNTATATATATATATATATATTTAAGGTGTACAATGTGGTGTTTAGATACAAGTATACCTTATCACACAATGGAGTTTTATCCAGCCATAAAGGGAAATGAAATTATGCCAATCACAGGAAAATATATGGAGAGACCATTATGTTAAGTGAAATAAGCCAAATTCAGAAGGTCAAGGGTCATATGTATTATCTCATATGTGAAAGTAAGAAAGGCAAAGGAGAAAGATGGGGTCACGGGTATCTTATGAAAATCAAAAGGAAATTGATAAAGGAAGGGAACTAGGAGTAGGAGGTGGGAGGGAGGGGGAAATGCTAGGAGTGATACTAAATTWAAAAAAAAAAGATAAAAGCCTACCAAGCACAAAGATTCACACAGTCAAGTTAATTAATATGCCTCACATAGTTACTTGTGTGTGTGTGTGTGTGTGTGTGTGTGTGTGGTGAGAAAATTTAAAATCTATTCTGAGCAAATTTCTAGAATATAATACATCATTATTAATTATAGTTACAATGTTGGACATTAGTCTACAGACTTATTCATCTTTTAAATGAAAGTTTGTACTCTTTGTCAACATTTCCCCATTTCCCTCCTCCTCTCCCCTGGCAACAACTATTCTACTTTCTGTTTCTCTAAATTAAACTTTTTAAGATTCCACATATAAGTGATATCATGCAACATTTTCCTTCCTATTCCGAGGCTAGTGTTCAACCACATTGGAGAGACTGGCTTCGCCTGTATGCTGAGCCCCCTATTAACTCCAAACTAGAAGCCATCTTTAATTCACCTTTATATCCTCATTCCTGGCCAGGATCTACACAGAGAAAATCCAAGTTCAGTAAAAGTCTTTGAAGGGATAAGTCCTGAAACATCTTAGTAAGAGAGCAGTAAAAGAAATTAGAAGGCAGGAGTGATGGAAAATCTTTGAAGYCAAATTTCCAGTTACTTCAAATTTACCAAGAAATTTACAATTTGCTTTCTTCACTTTGGGCATCAGCTCCCTGTACTGAGCTTCCCTCTGCCCACCATACCTGAGGTTATACCAATCAGCTACCTAGGGGTTTCTCTGTCCCTTTATACTGCATACCACACTCTCCTAGTGTTGCAGTCAGGAAAAAGGTGTGTTTCATGTTAAATGCTTCCCTGTACTTTCTCACTGTCCATTCTTTTGTTGTTACTGCTGTTGTTAGTTGTTTTAGCTTTGAGATGTAATATACAAAAAAAAGTATACACAGTGCACTTCTTGGTTAGTTTGGACATATGCATATAGCCACGATACCATCACCACAATCATAGTAYTAAATATATCCATCTCAAAAAATCTCATTTCCTTCCTTCTTTCCTTCCTCTCTTCCTGAATAATTAACATGAGAGCTACAGGTGTAGCTCAATGGTAATATGCTTGCCTAGAATATGCAAGAACCTGGGTTCAATGCCCAGTACGACCATCAGAAAAAAAAAAAACTTAACATGAGATCCATCCTCAACATATTTTCCTCAACATATATATTTTTTAATATMCAAAATGTGTTTATTGGGAGGTTTTCCCACTCGTCTTGATTCAGGCTGCTCTTAGTGCTGCTTCCTCCTGAAGGAACATCCTTCYGTAAGCCTTGCTTTTCCTCCTGTAAGCTCGCAGAAGACAGTGGAGCAGTCAACACACAAAATTACTGTTCGTGCATGGCTAAAAACTGTGGTGATTTTATAGCATTCTGGGCATTTCATATACATGAAATAGGAGTTGGGGCTCTGCACCAGGTGCTTCTTCCAGTGTTTCCGCTTCTCCTCTTCCGGACAGGAATGAAGAAGATCTTTTGCAAGAGGCATGTTCTCATGGGGAGGTCGTCACCGCTGGAAAGACTGAACATACTGTAAAGTGCACAATACAGTATTGCTGTTACTATGTTGTATAGCAGATCTCTAGAACTTAATCCTTATCTATTCTTAATTGAATAGAAATATCCTACTACTTTTACATAAATATAAAGAAAGGTCTGTATTCATATACTAGTACAATTGGGAAAGGAATACAGATCCTGGTTTTTAAAGCAAAGTCTCAATTATGCTTTCTTTGGTATAGATGTTAGCTGGATTACAAAATAAAGGAGTATGTGTACACACATGTGGGTGTGTGGTTAAATATGAGCTAGCCAAGAATTTTCTAGTTTCCTATTAGAGCAAAATGGGTTTGATTCATTGTCCTGATCTCTCCCATCCTGGTTCAGTGGGAGCTGAGAATATTCTTCCACCCAACCCACAGGTCAAAGAGTTCTGTGTTATTGGAATGCTATTATTTTTCCAGGCTCTGTGATGTTAATGATTTAATTATCAATATAATGATGTAGCAAGTTTGTTTGATTTTGGGAGGTCTTAGTACCATATGTCAACAAATACTAACAAAAAACATTCCTTCAGATCTCCAAGAGAGAGAGGGAGGGAGGGAGGGAGGGAGGGAGGGAGAGAGAGAGAGAGAGAGAGAGAGAGAGAGAGAGAGAGACCAAACTTGACCTACTTCCCTCCCTACAACAAATCTCTTTCCAAACATTCCATCAGAAAAGATTACCACTTTAAAAACTTTTTAAAAATAAACTTTCTATTTTGGAATAAGCTTAGATTTTCCAAAGAGTATAGAGAGTTCTCATTATACCTTTCAGCATTTTTTCCCAATGTCTTAATCTTACATAATCTTGGCCCATTTGTCTAAATCAGGGGATGACAAACTGCAATAGACTGCAGATCAATCCAGTTGTCTGTTTTTGTAAGGCCTGCAAGCAAAGTGTAGTAGTCCCACATTATCCACAGTTTCAGTTACTTGTGGTCAACCACTGTCCAAAAATATTAAGTGGAAAATTCCAGATATAATTTGTAAATTTCATATGCAGCTGTTTTGAGTAGCACAATGAAATTTCAGGCTGTCCATCCCCATCTCAACCAGGATGTGGATCATTCCTTTTGTCCAGGGTATCTATGATGTATATGCTACCCTCCCATTCATGAGTTTTCAGTTAACATATCAGATTCCCTGTATGGAAGTGCTTGTGTTCAAGTAACCTTTATTTTACTCAATAATGGCCTCAAAGTGCATAGGTAGTAATGTTGGAAATTTTACTACGGTATATTGTTTTATTCTTTTATTTTTATTAGTTATTATTAATCTCTTATTGTGCCTGGTTTATAAATTAAACTTTATCATAAGTATGTATATATAGAAAAAAAATCATATTATACATAGGGTTCAGTTCTGTCCATTGTTTAAGTTTTCGCTGGGTAAGACTAATATGTTCATATTTTAAATAGTTGGGGGGGGGAGGCTGTAATTCAAGACACATGAAAGTTATGTGAAATTCAAAATTCAGTTTCCATAAAGTTTTATTGCAATACAATTATGTCCATTCCTTTACATATTGTCTGGTTACTCAGACACGTCAGAGAACATCTGGCCCACAAAACCTAAAATCTTTACCATCAGGTTTGCTGAGTTCTGGTCTGAACTAAGAAACGAACATTATTACATTACTATTAACCAAACTCTGAGCTTCGAATCAGTAGTTTTTCTACTAATGTCTCACGATGCAATCCAGGAACCACGAACCACGTTGCATTTAACAATTGCTTTTGTATGGTGAGCAGGTGCGTGATCATCCTACTTTGGAAAATATTCCTGCCTAACAAATGAATTTCAGCTGGCCACTTGAACAGGGCTTGTTTTTTGTTGTTTGTTTGGAGTTGTTTACGTATTTTACACAATAGGCAGACAGTTGAAAACAACATCTGGGCTAGGAACGCTGTGAACTTGAAGATGGAGGAAGAGCTATATTTGTTCAAGCATTCCACGCGCCGGGCCAAGGCAAAAGGGACCAACTCAGCCCCTTGAGAAAAGGGGGCTCTCWATGACCCTCTTGGTTCATACGGTAAGAGGCCTTCCTCGGGCCCCACGCAGTCTCTGCCCCAGCGCCCCGGTCCTTTGTTTCCTCTTCCCCCACCCGAGCCTGTGAACGCGGCGGCTCCGGCTTTCACCCTACGGCGGCTGCATTCAGCCGGCTCCGCGGGCGCGGGCGGGCGGCGTCCGGTTGCCGGGCAACGGCCTGAAAGGCAGCTCACGTTGCCGCCAGGGCCGAGACACATCCGCACCAGCCAGTCTGCGCCGAGAGCCTGTGGCCTGATTTCTCCCCCTCCATTGTTGTAGCTCATACAAAAGGCTACACCGCTAGTGTGGTCACCTCGGCTGCGATGAGTCACTCGCCAGGGCATTTTTCGGGCCGGAGCCTTTGTGGRCTGAGATGCGCCCCCTCCAGGGCACAGCTCCGGGCCTGTCACTGGCAGGCTCCGCGCCTCGCCACCCTTAGCGAGGGGTCTCCCTCCCTGCCTCCGCCCTACCCACCACCTACCGCTTTTGTTCCTTTCAGCAGGCAGCCAGGCCCTCGCTTGCCTTTTGGCCGCTCTGAGATCACTCCGGCGGCGGCGGCCCAGGGCAGTCTTCCCTCCCCACCYGCGCCTTCGCGCTCAAAGTAAGCGTCCCCTATAAAGTCCCAGGCCTCTAGTGTCATCTTATCTCTTTTTCAGCCATCTTCCCCCGACCCRCCCCCATCCCTCTCAAAGTTTCTAAGGCTGCGGTTGCCATGGGACTCAAAACAACTTGAAGGCTGAAGGGAAGATTACTATGGTGGCTGACAACCCTCCTCCCAAAACTAGAGAATGAAGACCGAGGGATGTCCTTGGGATTCTCCAACGTTCCCCCTGTCCACCAGTCTTTCGAATTACATTTAACCCACCACCCTTTACTCCAGGAACCAGTTTTCAACATCGTGTTTGGATTCTGGGAAGTTCAGTGGTAAATTGGGAAAAGAAATTTTGTCATGCCTAGGAGCAAGTGTATGTAGAAGCTGGAAGGGTCTCTCTCCAAAGGAAAACTATCCCAAGAATTTTCAACAGTGTAAAATAGACAAAGAGCACCGTTAAGTTAGCTGTTTGTTATCACATCTTAGTTGCTGAGGAAGAAGTGCATGAAGGTAACAGATAATTGGCTTTTTTTATATGTGAAATGCCTGCTGTTCAGGTTCCAAAGAGTGGGCACTACTCTCAGCGCCTTCAGCAGGCCAGGAGCAAAAGCACAGGCCCTTGCCCCACATTTCAGCACTGGCTCCTGCCAGCGTGGGAATCCAAGTGTTCCATGCATCTGACAACATCCTGCCATCTCTCATAATTCCCATTACTGTCCCTATAAGATGCTGTTAAACCCCAAGCACAAAGTAGTAAGTAAGACCATAAGAGGGATTCAAACTGCAGTTGTAACTTAATTTTTATATAGAATTCGTATTATAGGGGTGGCAGGGAGAGACCCAAAAAGTCTGTATGCTTTTCATCTGTTTTGTCTCTTTCAGCTGATCTATAGCAAATTGCAGTTACCATAAATCAGTAAATCAGATGAAGTGCAAATATTTGTCTACAGATGTGGCACAAACCCTGACCCCTCAGAGCAGATGCCTACCATTGGGAAACAACTAAACACTGCTCTTTTGATGACTACTGGGATCATATCCCCATGCTAGGGAATTGGAAGCGGGTTGAAAGGAATCCTCAAAAATAAATTATGGTTTCTTCTCAAGATTATTGTTATTCCACTAAAAAATTTCTAAATATAAATTTCATACATGGAATGATCCCAAGTATAACTATTCATAGCTAGAGTTTATCATTAATAATAATACCTAAACTTCCACAACAACCTTATGAAATTTTTTAAATTATTACTATCTCCATTTCACCTATACAAAAACAAAGAATCACTAGAGACTTCTTGCTCCAGCTCTTGTACATGCAGGAGAGACAAAAGGAGAAGGAGAAGGCATTTATTAACTACCTATAGTTTTTCAGGTGTAATTCCAGGCAAGGTAGATCATGCATACAAATGACCATACTTTAGAACTATCAGCCATGTGTAGGACAAACAGAAGGAAGGAAAGTTGTGCTCAGGAGCACTGATAGAAGTTTGGACACATCTAGATTAAAGATTATAGAGGAAGGAAACTAGGATTATGGTAGTGACTAATTTTAGTTACCTAGGAAGCTCAGGGGAGCAAAAACAAGATAATTATGTTTTGCAGAAAAAGGAAAAAGAATGTCCGGGTTATGGGGGATTCCTGAGAGATGGGGCCCCAAGTTTCAACCACAGACCTGAGGTAGCAGTTAGGTAATAAGGCCTTCAAGACGCARATGAAGAAAGAAAAGTGATGTAAGAGGCACTTGGGAAAGAATCTTGGCCACTGATATATGTGGGGGATGTGAAATAGAAGAGTCAAAAGTGGTGGAGTCTTCAAATATGCAGAAGTTTATTATACTAAAAAGCTCTCAAGTAGGTTAAAGGAGTTAACTCAGCATCCAAAATGCCTAACCCACTCCTGAGTAGTTTCTGACAGAAAATCTGAACCAATAAATAAATATTAAATTACTTTACATTATGTAAAACAGTGCTAGGCTCACAAAAGAAGTTAATTGAGTATTCATTGAACGACTGACTGCTTAAATAAATTGAGGAACAAAGATGTGCAAATCCTAAGCTTTCCTTCAAATCAATATGTTTTCAGTTTCTGCCCTGGTGACTATCTGAATAAAGTGTCCAAGACATGGAGATGCATTGGGAAGGAGCAGGAGACTGGGGCTCATGTCCTATTCTGCGTATAACTCGAAGGAAGTTGTTTATACAGGGTGCAATGGCACATACCTATAATCCCAGTGATTCAGGAGGCTGAGGCAGGAGGATCACAAGTTCAAAGCCAACCTCAGCAACTTAGCAAGGCCCTAAGCAAGTTAATGAGACCCTGTCTTAA